CTCCAACAGTGTCCTATAAACCGCAGCCTCCTGATCATCAGTGTATCTGTAATCTTAGGAAGATTGCCGTACAGTTCTTTGTTGGTTTTATGCTCCTTTCATTTAAGTAATGAGAAAATGTTCTTGTACTTGCCAGTTCAAAATCAAGCCCACTTTGCCCCACTATGCTTTAAGCTGTAATGTTTGTACAGTTTCTTGCCCTTAACTCCGTTAGTGCGCGGACAAGTTTTCCCACACTACGTTGACTTACTTTCTGTGGTCTCTCCCGCCTTTGTTACTTGACTTTGATGCGTCCTTATTTGGCGGAGGATTATCCCTGCAAATTCTAGGAGCAGAAGACTTGGAAATCCCACACTCTCTTGCTATTTCACGGTACGTTGCCTTCCTGTACTTTCATAAAAACAATGCTAAAGCTGTTTGCACACTTGTTATTTTCTGGTCGCAAACCATTCCAAATGAAGCTACCAAGCAACTTCTGATGACTGTTTAAAAGTACATGACTTCTTATACAGAAAAGGTTAAGATGTAGGCATTCCCAGTCACAAATTTTATACGGTTTTGACCCTTTAAGGAAACTCTCGACGCATGAAAATGACTACGTCACAGATTTGTGATACGCATTCGAGACTGTTCTTCTATGCACCTCAGGTCACGAAATAAATAACAATTACTTATTAATACCTGGTAACTGTTTTTTGAACTTACTATACTTACGAATCCACAACTTTTATCTACGTTCCTTAACTTTTAAAAGACTTTTTCCTATAGAAGGGGTTTGCAGACAACCCTGGTCAAAACTCTTGGGACATTAACGCAACAGCTGGTAAAAATGACGCATTTTCTCTCCCCCCATTCCCCCCGATTTAGTGTCGGCGTTATGGCTTCAAATCTTTTTCAACACAATCAACATTGCTGAGGGGAGGGGGGGACAGCAGAAACAGGCTCTTTCAACAACATTTCCAAGCATTTATAATAGGTTAAATACGATATTAATAAGCAAGGTGTGTTTTCGTGCCTCATTTTCTTAAGTGTCCCAAGACGTTTTGACCCGGGTTTTAGGCTTAAGGAGTACATAAACAACCAATGCTTATGCCAGTGCGATGCCTTTCCACTAACATATTAGTGGCTTTTGCACTCCTTCGCCGCATTAACTTTCTGTCTAGGCTGTGCATCACCTGAGTGAGCTCAGGACTTCGCCACGGCATTGTGCTGACACTGAAAACTTTTTTCTTTGGTCTCTCTACATCTGGGCTCTCGTAGCCATTCTCTGAATTTGTGCCCTCTGATTCAGACATTGACTGTTCAGAAGACATGTAGTCAACTGTCATGTACTTTGTGTATCTCTCTTTCTCCTCTGCCGCTAAGGAAGCCGATACATTGCGTGCTTTTACTCTCTGGCTTTTTTTCTGTGTAGAAAATGAGGGAAAACAATTCAATACTGTGCAAAATCATAATCCATACCACACTAAGACTGAAAGTCACAGATAAACAATGAGGTTTGGGTTAAAATTGAAAAGGATGTTAAAAAGAAACTATCCCTACTGGAGGTCACGTTCAATCTGACAGCTTTTATTGTCTGTATACTCTATAAATCAACTTTCAATTTTTTGAAAATCAAATGGGATTTTAATAAGAAATTATTCCTACTGGGGGTCAAATGTAATCTGCAGGCGAAGTTACAAAAAACATAGAACGACCTAAAACCATCTACAACCACCTCAAAAAATTCAACAACCACTTACAACCATCTACAACCACCTCAAAAACATCTACAACCACTCGCATACAATCTAAAACCATCTAAAACAGGGTATAAGTGTCTGAAATAAGGCGAGACGACAACATGTCACATACATGAAATATGAGAATCGAACAAAACATCCACTTCCCCCTAAAATCTTACTCTCCCTGGTCCCTTGTATCATCAACCATTGGCTTAACACAAAACTTCCACCGCTCTGTCCTATTATGTTGGGAGGGCTGGGATATAAGGTTGATTTTGTGAAACTCATCAACAATTTGATTATAATTTAAGCAAGAACTGATTGTTTGTGATTTTTAATTGTTTTAAAATCATGTTTAAAATGTCTCATTACCAGTGATTACATATGGTGCAAAATCTGGAATATGTCTGGAAAATTCATTTATAATCTCAGCAGGAGCAAAACGTGATCATGAGTCACCATTGCATACATGGCACCGTTCCTACAACTGCATGCCGTATGAATTTTTATTTATTTATTTTTTAATTTATTTATTTAGTCACTCACAAAACCTTACACAACATGAACAAAAGGTGTTAATTAAATTATAAAACTAATGTGACAAGGAAGCCTAACGAAGCTTGAAGCTTATATTAAAAGGTTTCCTTCAACTACCTAGTGAACTAAGTTCATGGCTGAGTGCAGAGTGAGCAAGATCAGAAAATTAAACGACAGATCGGCTATCAGTGAGATAATTCTTTAAATTTTTTTTAAAAACAGATATAGAAGGAGAGCTAATTAGTGAAACAGGCAACGAATTCCAGATTTTAGGTCCTCGGTAAAGGATACTGAATTGCTTTATATTTGTTCTACAAAAATGAGGTCTATATTGAGAGGCTAGTCGAGTTTCGTATTGATGGACTTGATTACTACTTAAGAACAAGTCATGAAAGCTATTAGGCAAAAGATTATGGTGATAAGAATACATAAAGGTAGCGACAGAAAATGAATTAATACTAAATATGTCAAGGACTTTAAGCTGGCTAAATAAAGGGGCGGTATTTGCTAGATAGTGAGCTTTTGTTATGAGTCGCACTAGACGCTTTTGCAAAAGGTAAATACAGTTTAGGTTGGAACAGTAGGTGGAGGACCAGGCGACATTACAGTATGTTAAGAAGGGATATACAAGGGAGTAATACAAGGTCATCAAAGTTTGGGATGATAGGTAAAAGCGGGCTTTCGCAATAATTCCCACACTTTTCGAAATTTTTTTTGAGACGAAATCAATATGTGGTTTCCAAGAGAGATGCTGATCAATGAGAACACCTAAAAATTTTGTCTCCGTGACTTGCTTGATCACGGTATTTTCCAGAGTAAGAGGGACATTAACATTGACTTTCTTTTGCCTTGGATGAAAAATCATAAAATTTGTTTTAGTCAGATTTAGAGATAACTTATTCACTTTAAGCCAAATAATTATTTTTGCAAGTTCATTGTTAACAATAGAAACGAGGTGATTGGCATCTTTATGGGAACAAAAGATACTTGTGTCATCAGCAAACAGTAAAGATTGAGTGAGACTAGAGACATTAGGAAGATCATTAATGTAAATAATAAACAAAAGAGGTCCAAGAATTGAGCCCTGCGGGACGCCACATAAAATTTTCCGCGGAGAAGATCGATGGGACCCAAACTGGACAAATTGAGTCCGATCGTCAAGATAGCTTTTGATCCACGCCAAAGCAGTATCCCGAATACCATAGTGTTGCAGTTTATGACACAATATTTCATGATTAATTGTATCAAACGCCTTAGAAAGATCTAAGAAGATGCCTAAAGTTGTTTCATTTCTGTCGATAGCTGAAGATATGTTGTTGATCAAGTCAATTAACGCTAATGCAGTCGAATGATTATTACGGAATCCAAATTGTTTCGAGTATAAAATATTATGCAAATTTAAGAAATTAATCAGTCGGTTGTACATGACTTTTTCAAAGAGTTTAGAAAAGGCTGGAAGAATTGATATTGGCCTGTAATTACTAAAAAGTGTTGGGTCATCTGCCTTAAAAACTGGAATCACTTTGGCTATTTTGAGAGATTCAGGAAACACACCAGTAGACAACGAAGTGTTTATAATGGTTACAAGAGGCTGCGCAATATTTTGGAAAGACTGATGAACTATCTTCATGGATATATTATCATGTCCAGGAGCTTTGTTGGCGTTGAACGAATGCACGCACGATGGCGTTCGTGTTTAAGGAAGATCCCCAAGGTACCTACAATTCCTTTAAACTCTAAGGGAGTTTAGCAAGGGAGTTTAGCCTTGCATGATGACACAGGAAACGGGTGTGAAAGACACTAGGGTTCATCTAAAGGAGTCACCTGGAATGTACAAACATGTTTGGCGGATGATAAACAGACGCTAAAAAAATTAACTTGTTCTTAGGAATGTAATCTGCCACCTCAAAACAAAACAGCAGTGAAGCAGACTCCGAGAGAGAGAGAACCTACCTTGTGCCATTACGTAAACAAATGAAACGTGAACCAAAACGTCTCACTGGTACCCAAGGTAGAAAAACCCAAATCAAGTCAGTCTTTCGACTACGAGTTTGTTATTTTATTTTATTATTTTTTGTGACTTGATAGTTCATTTTGTAAAGTTCTTTAAGTCTTTTAATATACTTAGCATGATCTCGCATTTCATTTCGTGACTTAAGCCAATGATACAAGGGACCAGGAGAGTTAGATTTTAGGGGGAAGTGGATGTTTTGTTCGATTCCCGTATTACATGACATGTTGTTGTCTCGCCTTATTTCAGACATTTCATGACATTTATACCTTGTTCTAGATGGTTTTAGATTGTTTGCGAGTGGCTGTAGATGTTTTTGAGGTGGTTGTAAATGGTTGTAGGTGGTTTTAGGTCGTTCCATGTTTTAGTAACTACGAGATTTGGCAGGTTTCATATTTGTGTGCATACTCCAAAATAGGCTAAAGAGTGCTTTAAACATGAAATACAGTTACTCAAAACATAAGGTAGGAGATACTTTTGACTGGTCAACTTAGGCATCTACTATTTGCTATGCTGCCCGTTGATGAAAGCTACAAACAATTTAGGCTGGTGCTTTTGTAAGAGGGTTTGTGACCTACAGTGGTGTATGAAACTCTGATTTGCTAGAATATAGTTACAAAATTCACTTTTACAACTTTAGACGTTCTTTGATGAAAGATTAGAGATTCATGTGGCCACTAATTTGTCTTAGTTATTTTGCCCCTTGTTTATGTTGATAATGTTTTAAATTACAGTTGCATACAACAAAGCGTACTACCATCATGGTCCTGTTTGTTATCATTTAAGCTAAGCTTGAACAAAGATTTAAAGTAGTTGAACTGGTGCAACAAACATAGCAATACAGGAAATAGTTATAGACAGAGTACTACTGAGTACCCACCAGAGCTCTAGCAAGTGTCAGGGTTCTATTGTAATCTAACTGCTCTGGAGATCGGAAATTAAAAAAAACAAAACTGCATGCACTTTAGAATATAATGTACCGTGTTAAGGCGGCTTTGGACTCTCTGTTGTTTCAAGGCAGCCCGACTGTCATCTCTTAAGTTTTGGTGCTGCCTCTGCTTTGTTCGAAAGTGGACTCTCATGGCAGCTAAAACAGAAATTCAGTGTTGTTGAAAGAGTAGTAGTAGAGAGAGGCTACAGTACTTAGATATTTTGCTTGTTAGATTAACAAACACACATGCATATTACATAATTAAGTAAATAAAGTATTGAAGAATTGGAGAGGGGTAGCCTACTGGAGCAGATACTTTTTACGGCTCTCATTTCACCAGCAGAGAATAGAGCAACAAAACCAGAGTGAAAAAAGGGTCTGCTCCTGCACTGAAGGGGAAGGTTTTTTCCTTTTTATGGTAATCAAACTAAACAATCAACTAAATTAAGAATGGAACTGTATCAATTAATTGATAAAGCTCCAGAAGAGGAAAACAACAAAAACAAGCATTACCTTTTATTGTGCTAACTGGGGTGACACCATCTGTGCTCTGTACTCTAGCTAAAATTTGCTGGTTCACATTCTTGTTTTCAGGTCTATCAAAGCTAAAATTTAAAGAGTTCACACTGTTACATGTATATTAACACCAATCAGACCAAACACAGAGATTTGCATTGGAAAATCAAATAAAATTTCACTGTTATTAGTTTGAATCTTTATGTTGAAGAGAATCAAAAGAAAGATGGTACATTACCAACCTTTTGGAAAAGTCCCAGAGGATTTGTGCTCCATCATCTCCAACAAGGCTTTTGTAAACTCCTCGAACTTTGGCCTATTGAATGCAAAATATAAATGATAAAGGGGAAAAAAGACAGCTACTGGTAATATAGAAATTATTACAGCTGTGAAATGGGGTTTTATGGAGGAAGGAGAGTCAACAAAAGAATAACAAAAAACTTCAAAGAAGGGCAAGAACTAGGTAATTGTACCTGGCTATCCATATTCAGTTTAAATTATAAAATAGTTTTGAATTACCCTAAAATTCACCTTATTTTTACATGTCAAAGAAGGTACCAGTACATGTATTGAAGAATCACCAACTGGGCCATTTCTTTTACCCTAACCTGAGATCAGGCTCCATTTTGATTTCGCTTTGAAAATAACAATACTGAGGGCAAGGCGAAATGAAAATAGAGAATCTATGAGAACCGCTAAAATTGGGCCTGATCCCAGGTTACTTTAACTCCCACCCTCTGGTATTGAGGGCATTTGAATTTTACCCTTTCAAAGATTTCAATTTTTATTACCACAAAGAAAACAGAGAATCAAAGTTGTAACATATTCCTCCCTTCAGAAATGGCCCTTGAAATTCTGACCCTATGGATTTCCTTATCTCTCAGTGGACGGTAGGGGCAGTCAGTTGGAAAAGGATCACTATTTCCCTTGGTTTTGGCATGCAAATAAGGGTTATTAATACTGTAATTTATAACAATGGGTTCACAGTGCCCTTATGACCTCATGATGTCACAGAAATGCCTCGGAAAATTTTTGCAGGCCTACACGTAGTTTTTATCTCTTTTGGTTGATACGGGGGTTCTTGGAATTTCAAGTGTAAGCGAAAAAAGATAATAAATAAAAAAAATTGATTTAACATGGCATCCAAAAGAAAATTTTGCGAGCACTGTGAGGAATATGTAACATTAAGAACTCAGAGGCTTCACACTGATCTATATTGTCATAAAACTAACGAAGAGGTATATTCTTCAGAAGAGGAGGAAATTGCAGGTGATGATTTCGAAGATGTTAACATTGACAGAAATATGGGATACGAGGCTGAGGATCAGGGAATTGAAGCAACATCTCAAGGTACAAAAAGGTGGTGGACAAAGTTCCTGTGCATATTAGCTAGCAATTAAATGTAATTTATCTAACCATTTAGTCGTTTTACCCATATTTTACCCTAAGACAGTCTTGTATTGTGGATCTAGGCACTGGATTTGTTTCTTTGTCATTGGAGCTTGGATTCAGGATTCCAATGGCAGTATGTGAATGGCAAAGCCTTTTTAGCAGTTTCTAGGAACTATGCTTTTATGTTTAATGTGGATTGGTTCCAACCATTTAAGCATTCTTCGCACAGTGTTAGCGCTCTCTACATGGTCCTAATGAACCTTCCAAGATCTGAAAGGTTCAAGCTGGAAAATGTAATATTAGTAGGCATAATCCCTGGTCCTCATGAACCAAAGCTCACTATCAATGCTTATCTTCAACCCCTTGTTGCTGAGTTAAATCTGTTGTGGAGGGATGGAATCACAGTGAGAGCCCTTGGAGCTTCGGCTAGTGAAGTTTATCATGCTGCTCTTCTCTGTGTTGGATGTGATGTACCAGCTGCCAGAAAAATATGTGGTTTTACGGGACATGCATCTTGCAAAGGCTGCTCAAAGTGCACAAAATATTTCCCCGGCACAGTGATGACTAGAATTGATTTTTCGGGATTTCATTTACCGTCTCCTCCAAGGACCAATCGTAAGCACAGGGAGGAATCCCAAGAGATGTTGAATCAAAGCAGTGCTGGAGATGGGGCATCACTGGAACAGCAGTTTGGAACATGATTCAGTGAACTAATGTCACTTCCTTACTTTGATTGTGTGCGATTTCACATTAGAGACCGTATGAATAACCTAGTTACTGGCACAGCTAAGCATGTATTGAAAAACATTTGGTTAGATGGTGAAAATGCCTTGATCAAGAAAAATGATTTAATAAACATCCAAGAAAAGTTGGATAAATTTAAAGCACCATCAGATGTTGGTAGAATGCCAAGAAAGATTTTGAACAGCTACGGGGGGCTTTACTCCTGATCAATGGAAGACTTTTACCACACTTTTCTCAATTTATGCCTTAAGGGACATTTTGCCCAAACCACACTTAGAACTGTGGCGTCAGTTTGTGTTAGCATGTTCTTTTATTTGTTCTCCAGTGATTTCTGAAACAAGAGCCTTGCTCACTCACTATTATTTGCTTAATTATATAGCAGTCAGTTAATCCAGTATTGTCAGCACGGCTATTATCCTTTAATTTCTCAGAACTGTCTAATTTGGGATTTAATTTGGATAGTTTTCAATATGGAATTTGAGTAAAAATGCAGAAACTGTCCTATTTGGGAAAAAATAGGACAGTTTGTTTCAGCCAATGAAATCCGAGAAAAAACAATGGATTGTGAAACAAACCAATCAGCAGTGAGCAAACGTCAGCACTGAAAGCAGGACAGGTCGCCATTGTTGTTGACACATGGAGGAATTCAGTGAAGAAAATTTTGCCAAATTTTTCCATCTTTAGCAGTTCTAACACAAATGAGAGATTTCCATAGTTGCAGGAAGAGGAAATTAATACTCTTGGAAGCAGAAACGAAAACTCAAACACCGCCAAGAGCACAACAACGTGCCTGAACATTTTCAACGAGTGGAAACTCCAGTGTAACGAAGCGAGACGTTTTGAAGATATCCCTCCAGAAGAGCTAGATGCAATTCTCTGCGCTTCTTTGCCGAAATTCGAAAAAAAGACGGCAGCGAATATGAACCAGAAAGTCTGGCAGTGATGCAGAGCGCATTGGACCGCCATTTAAAAAACGCTGGCAAAAAACACAGCATCTTGCCAGACCGCGAATCTGAAAAGTCAAGGCAACAACTTGAGGCGAAAGCAAGAGAATTGAGAGTGAAGGGTTACCGAAAGCGAAAAAATGCATCTCACGCTTCGAATGAAGAAGACAAAGAATTCCTCTGGCAGTCAGATCAGCTCGGTAAACATTCTGCTCAAGCTCTGGTCAATGTAAACTTTAAAAATGTCACTGAACACTTTGGCCTCCGAGGGAGACAAGAGCACTTTTCAATGATGTTGGAAGATTTCAAAATCATAACCAGTCCTGAAAGCCTTGTCAAATACATAACTTTTAAAGAAGGTCCTACAAAAACGAGGTAAGGAGGTCTCCGTATCGCCCACAGAGCTGTACAACCCAAAATGTTTTCGACTGGCGGCGAAAGATGCCCTGTAATGCTTTTCAAAGAAATGCTGACTAGAGGACCACCAGAAATGAGAGACAGTGGGCCACAGATGAACTGTTGATAAAGTTTTGGGTTCCCGGTTCATACCAAATCGTCTGTTGCTTACCCACTTGTGTTTTAACCTGTCGAATACTTTCTGTACCGACAGTTCAGACCAAATTGACGACGGTGACCATTCAAAAATACCAATCATTCGAGCAGAAAAACTTGTGTGCAAAAGCTAAAGAATGCTGGTGTTGTCACACTTCTGATTATGACTCTGACTGCGACTCTGTTGTTAGTGAAAACCAGCTTTAAGGGTAACAATAATATTTTGATACAGTTGGTCATTTCAGGAAGGATAGTTTATAGTTACCTGGCCTGTTTACATTCATTCATAAGTAGTATGGTGGAAAAAGGCCACAATAGGCTCTTTGCATAACTGTGATCACATGATCAACCTTTGGTAAACACAAAAACAGTTCACTTTTAAAAAAATTTTGTTAGCACAAGCTGAAAGAGCATATTAAAATTAGGGAGCCTGAGAATTTTCAGTCACTCTTGCATGGTTTTCGATACAAATCCTTGTAAGTTCTAAAATTTTTAAACTGTCGTTAAATCTTTTCCTTAGGCATTCAAGGGCTTAAATTGCCTGTTATGAATTAAAAGGATATTTGAGGCCTGTAATCCTTTTGGTATTATTTCATGACAGTTTTGAAAATTTCGAAATTACAAGGATTTGTATGTAAAACCATGCAAGTGTGACTGAATGGCAAAAGTTGTTTTCCCAATAGAAATGCTTCTAACTTTCGGCAGGGCTGAAAATTCTCAGGTTGCCTAATCTTAATATGCTCGTTCAGCTTTTGCCATTCTTTCGTAATTACCGAAAGTTGATCACGTGGTCAAGTCATGCGAAGAACCTCTTAAATGGAACCACAATTATGATTACCTATGACCAGTGTAAATGATGAGCACATTTAAAGCACAACAAAGCTGTTTTTACACTGCATATTGCACATCTAAAGGAAATTCCAAAACAAACTTATTGTGTTTTGAAATTTATTATTTTAAAAAGGGCATGATTTAATTCTCAAGTGTTAATAGTTAATATTCAAAAGTTAACGAATGAGGCTAAGGATCATATGAAGAATTATGGATATCGTGGAGGGTGTTATCTGTCCAGACTGTAGGCCGAGGCAGATAACACCCTCCGACAGGAGAAGATGAAGGGTTAAAAAGTTCGTTTGATGCAGGGTGGCAAAAGCAAGGGCACACTCATAACTCAAGGACAGGTCATGGCACCATGGTGGTATTGCAAACGGGGAAATGCCTCAATTACTGGACAAAGAATACATACTGCAAGAAATGGCTTGGAGCGGAAGAAAGAGAAGTTCAACGTCAACTGCATGACAGTAGCTTGACCATATCAGTTCTGCTAAAGAAAAGTATCAAGTTTTAACAGGTGATGACCACTCAACAGTTATTGCAAGAGTGCGTGAGGAGGTTGGCAGTAATTTAGAGAAGTGGTCGCATGTAAATCATGTAACTTGTACTTTGACAAAAGGATTGTATGAGGGGAAGGGGATGGACTTCGATCCGGACAATGACAGAATAAATGACAGCATCATTGATCACATAAAAACGTGTTTTCTTGCGCCCTTCACCACTACAAAAACAATGTTGCTGGCATTCTTGAGGGAATTGGGGCTATTGTGCCACACAGCTTTGGGATCACACTAAGTATGGACACTGGTGTAAACATAGCAACGACCCACAAGGTGAAAAAGTTGTGCGGTGGAAAATTAAGGAAATTTCTCAACAGCTTGTTGTAGCCTTTTATTCTGGATGACGTCGCAAAGAAACTGGCCCCCCTTGGATTGACACAGCATAATGAATGCATCAATAGCATGGTGGGAACAAAGAACGCAAAGAAACGATTTTACAGAGGATCAGAGAGTAGTGACTACCATGTGTCAGCAGCAGTTGCCCAGTTCAATGAAGGACATGAATATATGAAGGCTGCGGAACAGAAAATTTACTGTGTCGAAAGAGAAACACTGAATGTCACACTACCAAAAGGCAACAGAAAATGAAGCAATCTGCAGACAGAAAACAAGAAGGGAGCACTAAAAAGGGGAGGAGAGAACTGAACAGAAAAAGAAAACACAGTCAAATAAACCGAGCAAGAAGGGAGGGAACAACCTACTGTTCAGGTAAAAGTTCCCCTTGTACTATTTATTAAGTTAATTAATTAACTATAAAGGAAATAAAGGGAGATGTAAAGAATCAACCATAAGAGGACACAGAAAAAATCTGAGCCCAAGATTTTATATCTCTCCCTTCATTTCCTTTATAATATTAATATCAGTGGCATAGGTTAATTAATTAATTAATCAATTAATTGATTTTTTCATTTACATGCTATGTTCTGCTTCTCTGATCTTTCACAATTAAGAATGTAAAATAAAACCAGTCTTAAAATTTATCATAGGTATTGGCTTTGGAGCAGTAACTCAAGAGAAATTGAACACCATGAGTGTAAGCGTTGAGGATGTTAAAGTTTAGAAGCATGTAGAAGGCACAAGTGTAATAAATGGACCCAAGGGTAATAAAGGTCCCATCTGTAATAACTTTTGGACCCAAGTGTAATAAAGGTCCCATCTGTAATAACTTTTGGACCCAAGCGTAATAAAGGTCCCATCTGTAATAACATTTGGACCCAAGCGTAATAGAGGTCCCATCTGTAATAACTTTTGGACCCAAGTGTAATAAAGGTCCCATCTGTAATAACTTTTGGACCCGAGCATAATAAAGGTCCCATCTGCGATAACATTTGGACCCAAGCGTAATAAAGGTCCTAATTAGCTTTATCCTCAAACTGGTAATATGCCAACAACAAATTATGACCAATAAGAGGTAAAAGGTATAAAGTCACCTGATTTTATCTTCCTCGTGTTCTTGGGTCCCACATTACCAGCTTGCACCTGTTTGCACTTCCAATCATTAATTTAAGTGTAACCAAAGTGCTCAGTACTGTTTCACTGTCCTGTTATGGAAGTGATTTGTGTTGTTATGAGGTTAAAATTCGCATGTTATCTTCAAAGGTGAGATTCCTATTTTTTTCCACTGCTTTTTAAAGCCCTAAAATTTCAATAACATATAAGAAACTATTTTAAAGTTACTCCTTCTCTACAAGTATTAACACGCATGAAATCCTACCAATATCACAATTCCCGCAATAGCGCAATCAAAGCTATTGAAGGCAAGTATAGGATTTCCACAGTCCTAATCTCCAGGTTGCTATTGCGTGGCATGTCTGACACGTATGTAGACAAAAGCGTACCCCCCCTCCCCCGCACTCCCTAACCTTTTGTAACTTTTAGTTTTATGACCTAAAATGAAGTGAAACTACTGAGGTGGTAAAAGTATTGCGTATCAAGTTTGGAAGCACTGAGCAATATCCGTTGGTCATATATACGCTTTTGTTCTATGAAATGTAAGCTTACAATATTTGCTACAATATTTCATCTCGTCACCTTGACAAGCAGCAGGATTAGNCTGTTTGCACTTCCAATCATTAATTTAAGTGTAACCAAAGTGCTCAGTACTGTTTCACTGTCCTGTTATGGAAGTGATTTGTGTTGTTATGAGGTTAAAATTCGCATGTTATCTTCAAAGGTGAGATTCCTATTTTTTTCCACTGCTTTTTAAAGCCCTAAAATTTCAATAACATATAAGAAACTATTTTAAAGTTACTCCTTCTCTACAAGTATTAACACGCATGAAATCCTACCAATATCACAATTCCCGCAATAGCGCAATCAAAGCTATTGAAGGCAAGTATAGGATTTCCACAGTCCTAATCTCCAGGTTGCTATTGCGTGGCATGTCTGACACGTATGTAGACAAAAGCGTACCCCCCCTCCCCCGCACTCCCTAACCTTTTGTAACTTTTAGTTTTATGACCTAAAATGAAGTGAAACTACTGAGGTGGTAAAAGTATTGCGTATCAAGTTTGGAAGCACTGAGCAATATCCGTTGGTCATATATACGCTTTTGTTCTATGAAATGTAAGCTTACAATATTTGCTACAATATTTCATCTCGTCACCTTGACAAGCAGCAGGATTAGTATTTCTTTCAAAGTAGCAACTTTCAAGGTTTGTTCAGTAACGCACTTTTGATTGGTGTAGAGCTAACGGTGCAAAAAGCTTGAGCTTACCCAGCAACGTACTTTTGATTGGTTTATAGCCAACGGTACGACGCAACATAATTAAGATTGATTGACATGCTTCGCCAAAAAACTGTTAGACTGATGTAAGCCTCTTACTGGCAAATGAATGCAAGCTCTGGCTATAGAGTGAACAAGAAATTTAAAACTGCACAAAGCAGAGTATGAAAAAAATCAAGTTCATTCAGACAAAAGCCGCAACAAATTGCATTCATTACTGTCTGCTAAAGTCCGACTAAGTCTCTAGGCCTTTTTCATATTCAAAATGAGTGCTCTTAATCGCAAGAAGTAGTAGTAGAAGAGCTCAGTAAAACAACTGTGTAAAACTTATAAAATGGTCACTGAGAGCTAGGGATAGAAATCCGTAATGAAAATCATGTTTTATAAGGCCTTAAGACTCCTCAAACAGCCAATAACATTTCAGAATTTTACCGAGAACACAAATTTTGAATATTGTTAAGTAGTAACAGCTAGAGTTGCTTAAAGGAGCTACTTCACGTACTGCGCATGCCCGGATTCTGACAATCATCTTGAAAAAGTTGGCCCAACCTTTTCAAGTCTGTCGAGCGGCCCGGTATTCCAAGTTCATCTTAATATATCTGAGACATCTTTGAGCAGTTTGCCTGGCTATGTATTCGTAACCAATGTATAGCCCTTCTACTAGGTTTCTGTGTGGTTTTCGTTTCTAATCGGCTTATTTGAGGTCATTTTTCGGAGCTTGAAAAATGTCCTCAAAAAAAAATGTCCTCTCATGGCGGTCGACAATCAGGAAGCGGTCGGAAGAAAATATTTAACAGCAAAGCAACGAAGCTTCAGACTTGGCAGAAAACCCACAAAAGAGTTTGGTTAGATGGAACAATTTACTCGTCTTGGGTTTCTGCGAGGATCAAGTGCGGATACTCGTCAGATTCTATGTTTGCTGCCCATCTTCTATCGCTCGAGAGAAGAAGAAGGTAAAGACCAATAAATTCTGTTGAATCTGTCATTTGCCAGTGTTCTTTGGATTAACATGTGATCTTAATGTATGTTTTTGGTTTGTAACCCAGAGAAACTTCATCTACCGTATGCAGAAAAAGAACGGCATCGTCAACTTCTGTCTCGAACCCCACTTCCTACAAACGACGCCATATTGAAGGTGAGACATGATTTGAGATTGAATGTTTTTGCATTATACGTACTGTTCCGTAAGATCAAATGGAAAAAAACTTGTTATAATCATCTTTATTCCCGGAATCTACACTATTTATAATTGAAACATTTGCCTCTTTTATAAAGGGCCTATGTTGTCTTCCACTCCTGTGCAAGCTTCATCTACACCAGCAGATGCAGAGAATATTAACATGTCTGTTGTCAGTGCAGGTGTAGATAATTTAAGGTGAGTGATTATAGCAGTACGTTTTGTAAACATAGCAGTTTTATGATTGCAGAGTGGATTTAGATTGTTTTTTTATACAACTGGTACATGTAAGAAACTAAGAATTACAGGTGTACATGTATGTAGTGGCTGGGTAGCATAATTTGAGATCAGTTGTGAGAAATTGTGCCTTTTTGGTTAAAAGTTGTTTATTTTTTCTCCTCTTTAGTGACATGAGTGTGGATATTACAGGGGTAACTGCGTCAGAGCTGTCTGTTAATAATGTTGACTACCAAGTTCTCAATGACTCAGTCATAACGATACCTGATGCAGACAAGTACCAGGATGCAAGTGAGTCCATCCACACTGACTCTTCAGACAGCGAAAGTGACAGTACAGAAATAAATCCACAGTATGTATTGTTTCATTCTGGTTATTCATATCATTCGTTTAATATAGAAATATTCATATTCTTTATTATTTTTGTTTGTTATATTAATATTGGTACGATTTATGTGCAACCCCTTGCATTGTGTCCCCCATTAGCTTATAGCTAAAAACATAGACACTTAAATAAAGTTTTCATTCATGCATTCATGCATACATGTTTTGACTCTTTTTATATTAACTATTTGTGTGCAAATGGTATGAAATCATTATTGCCGCATGTGTAATAAATATATGGGGTTGTATGGAAATCTTACCGTTTATTTTACCCGAGACCCTGACTTTCTTATTTTATGTTAAAATTTGTCCCATTTACAACAAGGAACCCCATGTCTTTCATGCAGACATAAACCGATCAGAGGTCGAGGACAGTTTCCAGCTGGCTTCTGATTGGATTAAATTTGCATGTAAAATTTGTGAATAAATCAAAAGTGGTCACACTTTTGGGCTCCTTGATGTAACCACCAATACAGGAAAGGGCATTATACCAAAATAATGTCAAAATAATGCAAGTATAATGTAAAAATTATTAGTAAACTAAATACATGTGTTGGTTGAACCTTTACCCTTGAAACTTGCCTGCAACGAACATGCCAAACAAAACCAATAATAGTAGTGGTCTGTCTCTTTTGAAAGGGTGATGTATGGTGTACAAAAGGCCTTGCAGGATCTTGATGAAGATCTCATTGACTGTGAGAGTGAGAGGGGCAATTCGGAAGTATCTGAGATTGGGTAAGTTCAGTGATTCAGGTAGTTTCTCAGAAGTTAAATTCCCTCATTTTGGGGTACTTTTCTGTTTATGAAAGGTGGACTTATACACTAGTAATAACATTTACATGATTGTATGTTGCAATATACAGTGTAATAATTATTATTAAATTTAATATGTTATTATCTTTATTGTGGTGAGTGTGTATAAAACACATAACATACTTATTACTAAAATACTAATAGTCTAGCGGTTAAATGCAAATCTGAGGAGAATTGTGCCTTTGATGATAAAAGCACGATTTTTGGCACAGAGATAATAGAGATCTTAAAAAACATTTTTTGATATAGGGCCATCCCAGATTAATCACGTGACCTCCATTACATTTATCTAAAAATGACGTCATCGGGGGCGATCTTTTTGCTTTTTGCAAGTAGAAATAGAGTAGTATTACGTCCACTTTTTCATAAAATCCTTATTTTTCCGCTCCCATACATCTAAAAATAATGATATTTTTGGAATGGTAGCTGTAAATCACCGATGGTGCTATATTTCAGTTTTTATCATTCGGGAAAACATAGAAGTAACGTCGTGATAGTCAAAATGGTCTTGAGGCAAACATCACTCGCTCATAGAGAAGAGTCTTGGCCATTTCAATATTATGCACTATAAATGAAAATAAAATAAAGCGTTATGTGAATTTCGCACTCGGGGACATTTCGTAGCGTTTAAGTGAAGTCCATCTCGACCGCTGTCCCTAAGATTACATTCAATGCTTTGGGAGAATAATTCAGTCACTACCAGCAATGTAAGTATTAAGTTTTATCTTATTTAACTGAGTTTAAAATTAGATTAGATTGTTTCTTTCATAGCCAAGAGATAAAGTTAAATTGAGTTGACTTTTTTTAAATAGAAAGTTTTATATCGCTTACTCCAACACGTGCTATTTAACTTCGGTAGGAAAGTTAACAGCAACAACAACTTGACGGCTTTTTATCTCAAGATATTTATGATTGCTTGTCAGTTTGAGCTTAAGTTTCGTTTGTTTCGTTCAAAGTTAAAGCAAAATGTTTCTGTTAGCCTGTTATTAGCGAAAAGTTTTTCAGTCAGAGAACGTTTTTCAGTATTAGTTTAACAATCCTGGCTTTAACTGTTAAAGTGAATTAAACAATTAAATAAAATATCTAGCCAAATTTTTCCTTGCGAGAAAAAAGAATTGGAACGTGAGCATATATAAACTCACTTATTTAGTTTGTTATTGGTTGGGAACATTTCCTAGTGTTGTGTAGTCTAGTATTTATACATTGAATAGCGGAAACAATTTTGTATATGATATATATCTTCATAATTTTAAAGAACATGGTTACATATTCAAAAAAGGTATACTTTCAGTCTTTTTAACATTTCGTGAATTTCGGCTTTTCAGGTGAAAAAAAACTCTTCACTGCAAGCCGCCATAATTTTGATAGTAAAATGTAGCTATGGCAAAAGTTTACAAGGTTATCAATGACCCTTTACAACCTGCAACGGAAGCTTCTGATACGTCGTGTTTACCAGTAGATTGGAACAAGTGTATTTTGTGTCAGACAGACACATCCGAAATCCTGTCTTGTCCGGCTGATTCTAAGCGTATCACGAAAGGAGCAGGTTATAAGACTGTGGCAGAAAATCTTCAAGCTTTTGAGAAAATTGGTTCTTTACCTAAAACAATAAATCTGTGCCGATTAAATGAAGGAGAAGGAATCGAAGCGAGTTTCCAGCAACATAAAGCCAAATGGCATGACTCATGTAGACTGAAGTTCAACAAGACAAAACTCCAGCGGGCAGAAAAGAGAAAAGCAGCTCCAGATGATAGTTCAAGTTCAAAAAGCCCAAGAAAATACACGCGTAGAAACGTTGAAAAGGTACCAAACCCTATTCATCAATGCTTCTTCTGTGGTAAGCAAGCTGAAGGTGAAGACTCCTTGCACAGAGTATCGACACTTGAGCTTGATGCCCGAGTTCGTCACTGCGCTTTACAGTTACAGGACAAACCTCTATTAGCCAAACTGAGTGCTGGAGACATGGTAGCTCAAGATGCTGAATATCATGTCAAATGCCTTGTTTCCCTTTATAACAGGGCACGAGGAACCGAAACATATAGTGCAGAAAGTGATGCGGATGCCGTTAATCACGGCATTGCTTTTGCTGAACTTGTTTCTTATATAGAAGATGCAAGAATGGACAATCTGGTAGCCCCAATTTTCAAATTGTCTGACCTAGTCAGTCTATACAGCAACAGGCTTAAACAACTTGGAACAGAAGTAGCTGGACGCATCCATTCAACTAAACTCAAGATTAGAGTGTTGAGCTACTTTTCAGAAATGGAAGCTCATACCCAAGGCCGTGAAGTTATTCTGGCTTTCAACGGGGATGTTGGTGCCGCACTGAGAAAAGCATGTGAACATGACGCTGATGGGGATGCTGTTCATCTTGCTAGGGCTGCTACTATAGTTAGAAGAGATATGTTCAGTAAGAAAATGGAATTCAATGGCTCATTCTCCACTACTTGCCAGGAACAGTCTGTGCCTAATTCACTGCTAGCACTGGTTACTATGGTACTTAATGGACCAAATATCAAATCACGTTCCTCCAATGTGCCTCAGGCTGCCCTTTCTCTGTCTCAGCTTCTTCTATACAACAGCGTGAAGCGCTACAAGGAAAATGATACAGATATTGTCCGACACAGCCAACAAAGAGAAGCACCTCTACCAGTCTATTTAGGTGTGATGCTTCATACAAAGACCAGGAAACGTGAACTTGTGGACGCTCTTTTTAATCTTGGCTTGTGTATATCGTATGACCGTGTATTAAAAATCTCCACTGAGCTGGGAAACAACATTTGTTACTACTATCAGCAGAAAAAGGTTGTTTGTCCCCCTCGACTGAAAGGTGGTATTTTCACCACCGCTGCAGTAGACAACATTGACCACAATCCCAGCTCAACTAGCTCTCACGACTCATTTCATGGAACTGGGATATCCCTCTTTCAGCACCCCACTGAGAAAGACAATGACGAAAACAGTGGAGTTCAGCTGCCTGCTGACGCAATTCAGGACAATATACGTGCACAAAAGAAGGCATTAATGCTACCAGAGTTTTACACAACGGTGCCTCCTGTCGCTTTGCGTAGGGACGACCCACCCATCCCACAGCTTCAAGGGCCTAACAAAGGAGAGTGCCAGCGCATTCCTGAAGAAACAGTGAAGGAATACCGGTACAGTTGGCAAAAATCTTTTTTTTTTCGACATTGCTTTCCTAGGTGACTGTAACTGCAGTATTAATAACTACAAAACTGATATTTTATTTGTACATTTTACAGGTGGTTGCAAGAGGTAAATCGAGTAGTAACTAATGAGACCGTAAAAGATGCTGATGCCGTTTCCTGGTCTGCATACCATGCAAGTCTGCAACCTTCTAGTAAATCATCCGAATGCTGCGTCACAGCAACCTCTCTACTGCCTCTTTTTCATGATCAAGCCCACTCCGTAGCCATGATTCGCCACTCAATGGACGTTGTTAGCAAAGCAGTGCAGAGTTTAAATCCTGGTCAGGTGCCCATTATCACTGCAGATCAACCTCTATACACAATTGCAAAGCAAATCCAGTGGAACTGGCCAGGAACCCATGGTGAGGATAAGTTTGTAGTGATGTTTGGGGGACTGCACATTGAAATGGCAGCTCTGAAGGCCATAGGAAATCTCTTAGACGGCAGTGGATGGGGAAGTGCACTAGTACAAGCCGGTGTTGCTACGCCTGGGACGGCTGATTCATTTTGTCGCGTTACTCATGTGACACGCACTAGAAGAGCCCATCAGATCACGGCTGGCAGTCTGTTTGTACTTCTTGAAAAGGCTTATTCTCAGTATCGTGTCAGTCTGAACGAAGACCAGAATCCGCTGTCATTAGAAGAGTGGTGTTCGCACAGTGCAGAACTTTATCCACAGTTCAAGTTCTGGTTGCTTATCCTGCAGATGCAATTGGCCGTATTGATCTACATTAGAGCTATTAGAGAAGCTGACTTCGAGCTGTACGTTGACGCACTCACGCAAATTGTTCCGTGGTTCTTTGCTCTAGACCAAATTCACTACGCTAGATGGATCCCTGTTCATTTACGGGACATGGTTACACTGAGAGACGTTCATCCAACTGTTTTTGCTGAGTTCATGAAAGGAAATTTTGTTGTAAAGAAGACAGAACGCAGATTCTCGGCCATAGCAATTGATCAAGCGCATGAACAGAACAATGCTTCTGTGAAAGATGACGGAGGAGCTGTTGGCTTAACGGAAAATCCGGCTGCATTGCGGCGGTGGATGGTATCTGGACCAGAGATGGCCAGAGTTATTGAAGAGTTTGAAGCATCAACAGAGAAGAGAAAATGTTTAGATTTCCGTCATCATGAGGAGGCCAAACACGTGCAGAAAAAATTTGCACAAAATGTTGAAGATCTCGCCAAAGCCATCGAAGAAATGGGAAATCCATTCACCGAGAACAGCAACGATCTTCTTGTTCTGGACAGTAGAGACCTTGCAGATCCAGCCATTATTGATTCTGTTCGTAAAATTGAGAAACTGGGACAAGAGCAGTATGACATCTATGTAGGAGAGAGGCTAGTCAATCAAACAAAGTCCGTCTGGGAGCCTATCAAGAAGAACAGTTTGGCACTATTTAGCCGACCTCCAATCCGAGAAAAGACAAAGTCGCAGCTACAGCTTGCTTCCCTGAAAAATGACTGCTCCCTCTTTTCACGTCTTTACGTTGCATCGCAGGTCCGCAATGGCAATCTTGATGAATTTTTCGAGCATGAGAATCAGGCATACCCTCCAGCATTATCACAAAATGGCAAGCTGAGAACCGGTACTAAGTCTGACCTTGTTAGATGTCTGGAAGAACTCGTAAATTCCCGCGAGAATGCCACTCATCCCAGTGTGGAAGTTATCATCCTCGATGGCTCTGTCATTGTAAACATGCTTCGACCAGGTTCAGCAAAAACTTTCTCGGATTATGCTTCGCAAGTTTTTCTTCCATACGTAGCGTGCCAGCTGCAGCAAGCAAGTAGAATTGACATCGTTTGGGATGAGTACCGCCCTGACAGTTTGAAAGCTGAAACGAGGGTTAAGAGAGGAAAGGGAGTTCGAAGACGCGTAGAGGCTTCAACACCAATTCCAGGAAACTGGCAAGAGTTTTTGCGGACTGATGAAAACAAAGTAGAACTGTTTCGTTTTCTAGCAAATAGAGTGCCATGCATCGAAACCGAAAAGCAAGTTCTCAGCACTATTCAGTCTGATATAGTTTGCAATCAGTCAAGAAATGTTTCGAGGCTTACCCCATGTACACACGAAGAAGCAGATACCAGGATCATCTTGCACTTGGAGGACGCTGTCACTGAAGGATTTAACAAAATATCCATTCGTACCGTTGACACCGATGTAGTGGTTTTGGCAGTGACAGCAGCACAGCGCAACGGAAACACTGAAATCTGGATCGCTTTTGGTACAGGAAAGAGTTTCCGCTTTTTGCCCGCTCATGAGATGGCTAGAGTACTGGGACCAGACCGATGTACTGCCTTGCCGATGTTCCACGCCTTTACTGGGTGTGACACTGTTTCATTTTTTGGAGGAAGAGGTAAACGAACTGCCTGGGACACGTGGAGATCCTACAACGATATCACATCGATATTCGTCTCTTTGGCAAACACCCCAGAGTCTGTGGAGAGCTCAGTTACATCACTGGAGCGATTTGTGATTTTGCTGTATGATCGCACCAGCAGCCTAGAAGACATCAATCAGGCCAGGAAACACCTCTTTGCGCAAAAAGGGAGGTCGATCGAAAACATTCCACCGACGAAAGCAGCCCTTGTACAGCACATCAAGCGGGCAGTCTATCAAGCTGGTTATTGCTGGGCACAAGCGACGACTTCAAGCCCTGATCTCCCATGCCCTAGTGAATGGGGCTGGAAAAGAAAGGAGCCATGCAGCTGGGAAGCCAACTGGACCTCACTGCCAGAAGCAACGGCGGCCTGCAGAGAACTTTTGAGGTGTGGTTGCAAGAAAGGTTGCAAAAAGAACTGCAAATGCTCAAAGGCTGCTCTGCAGTGCACAGCTCTATGTCAATGTGGTGGACAATGCACTGAAAACTAGGATTTTTCATGGCGAAACAGCAGTGAATTCTATGCTTTCTACGCTTTCTATTACATGTAGCTTTTATTCATGGTAGTAAGGATTTCTTAGAACGAAAGTCGTTTTTTTCCATTTCTAAAGTGCTGTTTTTAAAACAGCAGGAAACCAGTTTTTCTATACGAATCTGTCCCTATGTTCGTACCAAGCTCTATAATCGAACATTTGCAATAGTTTTTTCTACACCATCATGTTGCACTTTTGTCATGTGTATCATAATTTGGTATAAGAGAACCAAATTCTGTATTATTCTTACTTTTACCCCATGCTCACACCTCATTTAGTGCTTACATGACGTTTTTAAGTAATAGGGTTGTTGCCATGACAACAGTAAACGGCTGTGATGTGAGCATTGTGATGACATGTTGGTCACGTGACTAATTTGCGAAGGCCCTATATCTAAATTTTTTTAAAAAGATATGAGCTGCAAGTGTGCCAAGTTTCATTCTTTTATCATAAAAGGCACAATTTTTACTCCCAACTGCTGGACTAGTATGTAGCAAGCTAAAGATTAATAGGAAAACACAAAGGCAGGAAAGAAGAGTGCAATCTTATTTTCGTATTATAATACAGTAGCAATTGATGCACTGAGCGTTTGATTTTTCTTAACCATTAAAGAGAAGCTTCTAAAAGCTAGAAAAGCAAGACAAGTGAGGTTTTTTTTTTGGTGATATGATTTAACAACTTTTTTTATTTACTTTTGCTTGTTCCGCGCATAAGAAAAAGAAAGGTTTAAGTGGTGAACCTGCTGTCGAAATTAAAACGACAGAAATATTGTAAGCAAAATAATGTCGGCATCTTTAACAATTATTCTTCAAGCCCGAATGGGCTATGAATCAATAGCCCATGATGGGCTATTGACTCAGAGGCCATGACCTATGAGAGCGAGAGGAATAATTGTTTTAGTAAAATCCAACTAGTTGGTCAAAAATATTGAGAATAAAAAAATTCTGGCTAGTTAAATCTAGACTTTAATCCTCTTTTGCCGCCAAAAAGCCCGCACTTTTTGCTACTAGTGGTCAACTAATATATAGCCTAGTAGTAGCTAATATATAGCCTAGTAGTAGCACAACCAATCATAACGTAGCATTGATAATAGACCACTAGTTGGATTTTACTAATAATTGTTATTCACAGCTTGCTGTTGCTGTCAGTTGTAGATCTATTCCACCTTGCACGGCATAATTTAAAAAACACTCTCCACTCTTGTTGGTAACAAATATTTTTTTTTCGATTTATATTATAAAGATATCCCCTCGTTTAAGGAACTAAAATGTGACGTAGCAATTACGGAGAAAGGCATATGGTCAGAAATTTGGCACAGGATTAATCAATTAAAAGGTAACGAAGCTGCGTACCATGCAATTGGTACGTGAACGTGATTTAATAATACCGGACCAACGAAAAGTAACTATACATTTTTTGCGTATTTTGGTATTTCATAGCGCTTCATCCTTGTTTAAATCATTTTGTAACTTCAACCAAAAATGCACAGCCAGAGAGTGTCAAGTACAGGTTTCATTTTCTAGGCCAACAGACCTTGCCCAGCGAAATGATCATCACACGACCTTGAAATTTAAGCAACAAAATTTAGGTAAGTAAAGTTTGAAAAGAGTTAAAATGTTAAATAAAAATTATAAATAACAGAAAAGAAAAACTATTTAATTCTTGATTTTGGGGATTTTTTGTGAGTTTTCAGCTTAGTTTGAAATGTTTTATTTTAAGTAAACGCTTGCCTATTCGTTCAACTCTAATTTTACCGAAGACAATCTAAGCAAGAGCGGTTTTGACAGTGTTTCGAAAATTCCCCGCCCCCTCCCCCCCACCCCCAAAAAACTAAAAAAATGCTCCGAAATACTGCTCAAGGGCGTTTAGAGGCCATGTCAGTCATACTGGTCGTACAATACCGCAGTTTTTTGGATGACATAAAATGAATCCGCTGACAGTTTAACATACTGCGTCCTATTGCAGGAAAATACTTTCGTAGATTAAAAAAAATATAAAGCTAAGGCCAATGTTTCCAAAAAGTATCTTTTCTCGTCGTTGGAATTTAACGCTGGTATTTCCTCCACACTTTCACATAAATGGCAGTGGTATAACACATTGCCTGGAAAAAAAATAGTAAGAAAGAAAGTGAGAAATTGTGTAAGAAAGATGAATAGTGGACTCAAGAAGTTATCCGGCATCAGTAATTCAGTTTAATTACTGATGCCGGATAATTCTCTTGAGAAAAATAAAAATAAAATAAAAATATCTTTGTTTTTCTTATTTATTTATTTATTTATTTATTTATTTATTTATTTATCCGTCGCTAATATTTATTTATTTATTTATTTATTTATCCGTCGCTCGATTCACATTTGGGTTTGTAAATTAATCTTATATCTAAGTTTAAACCAGGCCAAAACTCGCGGTCTTTGCATTTGAACCTGCATATTTACCGGTTTTAGAATTGTAGCAGGTACTGATGCTTAACCTAGCTCTCAAATTTTGCAGTTTGGTGACTTTGCTCGTTATATGTGACCCTCAAAGTTTATTTCAACATTATAGCTAAACAAATTAACACAAATATGTGTAACAACAGCTCTCCTTGCATTTTCAAATGCGATATATTAAAAGAAGCAGCGTCAAGAAAAAAATTCCTTCACATTATACCCCACGCTCACCTTATTGCAATTATTTTAACACCATAAGAAGGATTATGGTTAGCGCCACAGCTGCTCCAAGAAGGACAACCAAAGTAAACATCAAGCTTCTGAGCATTGCTTCCTTATTGTATAATGGAAATATAAAAATAAAAATCAGACAGATGAAAAATGCATGATAGAAAGTTGTTGAAGTCAGGTTATTAAGTTTTCCATCAAATATTTGCCTTTTAATTTTGCTTTTGATCCTCTTCTTTCGGCCGAGGCTTATAGCACCTTCCTAACATAAGGAAGTTATATGTTTTTCGAAGTTATTACTGTTTTAGTGAACTTAGATAGTAGAGGACCCTGGTTGTGAAACGCGGCAAGCATCAAAGATGAAAACAACGTTTCTTTTGTTTGTTATGGAAGCTCCCTGACGGTGCACAACCCTTTGTTGTTTAGAAATTGTGACGGGATGAATTGTTGGTTTTCAGATGACGTCACTAAAATTCAAACTACAAAACTATCGATCCTACTGAGATTTTACCCTCATGGTGTATTAGAGCAGCTGAAAGCTAATTTTCAAACAAATTTTCGCTTCAAAATGGTTCTTGGTAGTAAAAGAGTACGCTTGACTTTTGTAAGCTTTTGCGTGACGCAGCATTTACATGACGGCCGAGAAGGCTGTCATTTAGGTTAAAAAGGTGACTTTTTTCGAGGAATTTTGCTATCTAAACAGTTCAAGTATTAGAAAAAGTATTACTTTAATGTTTATCAGTTCCTCTAGGAGTAAATTCACGCTTTCGTAGAAAAACTCGGTAACAGATGTTTCTGTTGGTTTCCGTCCTCCATGTTGGAGCTCATTCGGGTGAGCTCCAGCATGGCATCTCCATGCAAAGCTCTATAAATTTGGGTAAAACATTTCCTTGGACATCTGGTATACGAATTATTCCTTCGACCCAGATCTTGGCGAGGGTCTTTGTATATTTACCTCCTTTAATTTCCCAGATTCGGGACAAATGGTTTTGATTTTTGTTTTGATCTACTTTGAATGGCGTGACACTGAAAACCAGCAGTAAACGCAACGTTAAAATTTGAAATGGTCAATAAGATCGAAATGATAGGAGTGCTATTCGCTTTAATGGTTTAAAATTTGTGCAGCGTAAAGTCCACAAAAACATATATGAAAGCGGTCTGGCGGACTTCGTAACCATTCCCCTATATTAGCTATGCCCTGAAGAAAATGCCTATAGTTTAAATTCCTATTAACCTTGATCGACATTTTAGGATGCTCCTGGGCGGTCTGTTGTCCTGTCGGTTCCATTTGGATGTCTGCAAATAGAGTTTAAAAAGAGTGACAAGAAGTGAATGCCATTAATGATTATCAATGAGTCCCTAAGGGCCGATTATCATAAGAGGGGATAAGAGAAGGAAGCTATGGAAAAAAATATTTACATTTCAGGTAAAAGAGCTGAATGACTAAGTGTGGCAATACTTTCTCCTCTCCCCATCCCTGCAAAGTTGGTGAGACTATGGAAGAAAAACACAGTTCTTCGCTCGCCGCGTATGGCAATGAGGAAAGAAGGACGACCGCCCGCGGTCTAACTTTTTGTTCCAAGTTTTTTGAAATATATTCATTATCATAATTTGGTAAAAGTTGGGTGGCAGGGAGGCAGAGCCTATCCCTTTATATTAGCGGTGTCTCGAGGGATAGCCCTACATATTACATTAAAATAAATACAAATAAAATGGGCAACTCGCTATGACAAGCATAGCGAGTAAATAAAAAGCTTTTGGTTGGGTGGGAGGGCGGGGAAAAGTTAGCCTCCCTCGCAGACGTTGTTAGAGGCTCGGCACGCGTCCCTGTCCCACTGTAAACAACTGCTGAAACGAGAGGGGGGAAACGTAGACCAATCACAGCACACTTCAAGATCTGGGAAGTGCATTTTGGACCTTGAGAAATTTCGCGCGAGACTTCAGAAAAGATCAGAACAGAAAGGTCTCGTGAATTGTTAGAACAAACTGCTCAGCTAACTCACACGCCTTCAAACAGAGAGAAATGTAAAAAAAGCCAAAACATATCTCCTACATTCTTGTCCGGAGCAAAGCTCTTTGGTCACGTATCGCACTCTACAGAGCTTGTACATTGTGTTTGGCTTGTCAACACTTTGACTTTAATAGCGCCGATTGGTTCTCCGATAGTCAGCACGTGAGCTCCAACAAGCGAACAGTGGGAAAGGAATTAACCCCTCGTTTCAGCAGACGTTTGTGGGGCAGGAACGCGTGACGAACCCCTAAGAACGTCTGCGTAGGAGGCTAGGAAAAAGTATTACGTACGCAAGAGCAAGTCCAGCTACTCGCTTGAAGAGAATGAAAGCTTAAATGCCAGGAGCTTATCACAGGTGGCCCCAAACTCACGTTACGAGGAAAGAGTGTAAAGTACCATAGGGGACGCTTGACTTTTGTGCTGGGCGCGCCGGTGTCGCGTTACAGGCTACCGTTGAAAATAAGAGACTTAGTATGAGAAATAAAATACTGAGATCTGGGAACGCTAAATAACGTTAAATCTAATTTTCCCTTCAATGACATGAATAAATAGGACGTACCTGCGATGTATTCCACTGTGTTTTGGTGTCTGATTGTCGTTTTACTGGTTTCTTGCTTGGCTTTATTGCATAACGACTGTTACTCCCTTCATAAGACGAAGTGAGGGCTGGTCATTTCGATCTGGCAGGGTCCTGGACCAGTCGCAACAAGAACGCCGTATTTTCGCCGAAATTCAAATCCACAGCAAATTGTAAGTGCTAATTCTCACCCTGGCGACCTTTCCAATTTCAAGTGCAAATTAGCTAATAAGCGCGTGGTCACAGGTACTGGACGAAAGCCATACGTGCCTCGAAGGCCGGCACAAATGGCTCGATTTGATGGAGAAATTTTGAAAGTTTTTCAAGCCGATCTCCAAAAGAGGAAGAAGAGATTTCCCTCTTGGCCAGGAGCTAAAAAAAAATTGCAGTGGATTTGAATTTCGGCGAAAATATGGCATTCTTGTTGGTCCAGGACCCTGCCTTATCGAAATGACCAGCCTTCACTTCGTCTTATGAAGGGAGTAACAGTGGTTATGCAGTAAAGTCAAGAAAATCAGTAAAACGGCAATCAGACACCAAAACACAGTGGAATACATCGCAGGTACGTCCTTTTTATTCATTTCATTGAAGGGAAAAGTAGATTTAACGTTGTTTAGAGTTCGCAGATCTCAGTATTTTATTTCTCACACAAGGTCTCTTATCTTCAACAGACGCCTGTAACGCGTCACCGGCGCGTCCAGCACAAGGGTCGCGCGTCACCTATGGTACTTTATACTGTTTCCTCATACCGTGAGTTAATGAATGAATGAAGGTTAACGTATGGAAAGACAGGTAAGAATCTTATGATGCTGTTCTAAATTACTCGGAGCTTCGGGAAAAACTTTCGCACCTCAAAGGTAAGCTATACAATGAGCTATCGACTACTACGTAAGCCTTCATTGCAAGGACATTGGAGGCAAGCACTCGTGCACCAAAAGCTTTGTTAAACCATGGTTACCAGGATACAAGCCTAGTTCAACCACCCAAGGTTTTCTGGTTGTCAAAGTAAATGCATTTTTTCCAAAAGAATTGTAACCTCTTACCTCTGCTATTGTTCGATGAAAAAGTTCTCTTCTCCTTGTTTATTTTGGTGATGAATAAATAAAACTCAAACATAATTATTAGCCCAATTCCGATGATAAAAGCTATAATAGCCCGGAAACCTTCCTTTCCCAATCCGACCTTTTCAGTTGCCAGTCCGTAGTCGATTGTTACAACTGTAAAACAAAAATGAAAAACCAAACGTTTAGCCTTCCGTTTCCCTGACGTTTTTGCTCCTGCCTCCCCTCCCATGGGACAAATTTACAGGAGGGCAAAACTTGCTACAATCACATCAGAAGGGAACAAAATGAGTAATCGTTAGAGGTCGACACTAATAAATCCAGCCGTAGCTCCCTTGAACTTCGATTGCAGGATTTTTCGATATTATTTTAGGTCTAGCGCTTCGTGTTTTAGGCAGATTTCTATTATAATTGTAGGAGAAAAATCTTCTGGCTTTTAGCATGTCTAGTGGACGGCTATGCAAATGGCATTTCTTGGTGAACACCCGCTCCTCTCATGTATAGCAAGCTAACACTTTTACTGTAAACTAGCCTCTTCTAGGCTCCGAGATAATCGGGTCCGCGAAATTGAGGAAAGCCCGAACACCAATATAAAACCCGCTACTGCCCCCCTTTCCTACACCACGCGCTCATATTTTCGCGTGCCTTTCACTTTCGCGTCATCCCTACCATCCGAGGGCCTGGAACAGGTTAAACTCACGTAAATGTCCTTCGCAAACGCTTCAAATCGCTTAAATTCGCCTTTCTTTCAGACAGACTATTTTGACTGTGATATCACAGGATATTCCCGTACATCACTCGAATTCAAAAATAAGAATGGTCACTCGGTTTGTGTGGGCGCCGGCTGCCCCAAATCCCTAATCGGTTTGGAATTTTGAAATGTCAGCTTCCATAAAAGAACAATATAATAATTATGTTCAGTTCCCGGTTGGCTTGCTAGCTCAATTGGCTAAAGCAGCGCACTGCTATCTCCGCAGAATACCGGCACTCCGGCAACCCTGAATCTTTTCAGGCTTTCTTTAAGCAGATGCATAAGTTGCGTCTCTGGATTTATTACAAGTTATACAATAACAAAAATAATAATAATAATAAATTTTATCCTCTTTAAAACACTTACTTGCCATAACAAGAGCACCAATGCCGACAATTCTGTGACACCAGTTGAAAATTTCGCGCCTATAATTATAAAGAGCTTCTGTTATAAAGTGAGAACTGTGATAATGTTTCAGTGATATTACAAGAAGCTACATGTGCTTCATGTATAATCAACTGCATTCCTGGTATGGGTATTCCAGTTGGATAAGAAAGAGTTGACTGTGCATTGTGGTTATTTAGAGACGCCTAAAGGCGGATCACGCATTAAATTATAACTGCTTAATTACAGAATATAACTGCAAAATTATATAACCAAGATAATTTATTCTATGGCTGACTTCTGTGTTAGTCATAGCTACCAAATTGCATGCATGGGTTCGAGAATATGCATTAAATAAGTGGATACAGGACATTTTGGTTAATTTATCACCATTAGTCCATCCTTTCGTTGCTGACACACTGTGAAATTTCATACTAATAATAATAATGATAATAATAGTAATAATAATAATAACAATTATTATTATAATTATTATCATAAGATCACGAGAAAGATGTTTTGCCATATGTGTGACATGGCGACATGGCGACTGGCGGAAAATTAAAAGATTGACAGGAGTGAAAATGGGGCATCCGTTAACCTGTACCAAATGACGATTGTCGGTTGTCCGTTTATTCTGTGGCTGTCAGTTTTATCTTGAACGGTGCCAGTAGTCTCTTGCTCCTGGCTTCAATCCCCTCAGTTTTGATAAAGCGTTATTAACTTCGAGACTAATCTCTTATTGTTGCAGCTGTATAAAGAGTTTAATCTTACTTGGGTTCTCCAGGGTGTGGTCTGAATGCTGCCATGATCGGCTGAATAAGCGCTAATGCGATTGTAACGATACCAAGAGATGGATGCGGTTCTGCACTCTGTTATAAAAGGGAGGAAATGATGGTATCAAAAAATTTTCATCAAAATGAAGAAATATCGAAACAGAGATTGGTGTTTATACCCGCAAGCGAACATCTTTATGTGGGTCCAAAAAAAGACACTGATGCATGATTTGAAAGGTATAACCGTTAAAAAGTGCACCCGAAGCTTTCGTAATGTATGAATGTCAGATTAAACAATTCAAGCGTTTGATATAATGTGGAATATTCTTAGAGAAATTTCAAGCTCAGATCGGATTTTCAAACCTCCTTCGCGACAGTAACTTCGCCAAAAGGTTCTTCGTCGGTATATTACCAAACAAGATGCGAAGGCACTGTAAAACTAGCCCGAGAGCCAACACTTGGTTTCATTTTGCGGCGGAATCTTGGTGGCGTCGCGAAATGTGAGACGCATTCTCGTCAAGGCTACGCCAGCGCAAGCATTCACTGTAACTTAATTGATGACCCCTATTAAGTCATGTGATGCTTGTTAAACCCATGGTCGCTAGTAAACATCACACGTTTTACTTAAAAATTTTAATTGCGAATTAACTGAGATAAGCAGTTAATAAATACTGTAGTAGCCAGTCCCTTTATCCTTAGAGAGCATTCGAAAGCGATCTCATTGTCAGTAAGCAGAAAACCTGTTTGCCATTTATTTTTTATAGCATGCATTTATTTGGCATCTATTCTAGTCTGGAAAGCTCCGAAGCTGTGGATGTTACGTTAATAAACCAGGTGATGAGTTAAAACACAAGGAGAAACCGATTAATCAACAAATGTTTACTCTAAAAAGTCTGTTTTTATATTTTCTTCCAAAATAATAATTCGGCGTTTTAATCAAATTTTGTTAGATTTTATTCCCTTCTATATTTTACTAATGAATTATGACTTAAATTTAGCACATGTATTGATATAGATATTACGTCATTCCGTTCTCTGTCCCGTTATGGCGTATTATGGAACTACAATGAATGATTGATTATTTATTCCTTCGCAAGCAGATCGTTCGATTTAATGGTGTGCTTCCTGAACCAAATATAGTTTGCACCGGAGTTCCTCAAGGAGCAATTCTGGGGCCTCTCCTTTTATCTCATCTTTTTTAATGATGTGCATAGTCCCCTTCGTCATTGTAAGATTATCACCTAGGCCAATGACACAGTGATCTCTTCATCCTTAAGTCAGAGTGATATCGATGCGATTCAAGGCAACCTTTCCCAGGACTTGGATAATCTCTCTAATTGGTTTTGTGATAATGAACTCATCTTTAATCTGAGGCGATGCTGTTTGGTTCTGGTAAGTCAAGCTCTCAGTCAGTGGTTCCCCTATCAACACCACTGAATGTTACAATTGCAAGTACCTCGGCGTGCATCTGGATCCGGACACTTAACTATGAAATGCATTTTAACAAAATTTTACAAGAAGCCAGAAGGAAGAGTAATCCCCATAAAAGTTGCATCCGTTCCAGCATTGTTACTTTTAGTGCCCACAGAATTTACCAATCAATGATTATGCCAATATTTACGTACTGCGGCTATAATAATCTTGCATGGCCAGAGTCCCGAAAACGCATGATCCACTCCATTGGGAAACGAAGCCTCGAAACCATTTACCCGAAATTCAGTCCGTAGAACTGTGATCTTCGATTTTTAATAATTGACAACTTTTTACAAAAGACAGCATGCTATTTTGTATTTGATTGTCTTAATGGTACTGCATGTTTTCCATTTAAAAATTATTTTCAACGATCACATCGTAACGCTTTAAACACTTTAAAAATAATGGTAAAACAGCAAAACTGCGAAAGGTCACTGAACTCGATTTTACAGGCCGTAGTTTTTATATTTTCGGTATTTTCATTGCTTTCAAGTTGAAGACTCATTAATTCTAGAGTTTTATTTAGGAAAACCTAGGACGATTATTACTTGTAATTTCTATTGTTGTCTCAAACGGTGCTTTACCTTATTGCCTGTTTGCTTTTTTTTATGTATTTTCTTTTACATGATTATTTTTAATTAGTAACTCTTATTTATTAGTTTCAACTCTTAGTCAGCCGGTCCCCGTTGATAACAGCACTTTGTACTGAGGGTTAGGACGACGACGGGGAGGAGCACTAGCAATAGCAGTAGCAGTAGCATAGTAGTAGTGGTAGTGGTAGTGGTAGTGGTAGTGGTAGTGGTAGTGGTAGTGGTAGTGGTAGTGGTAGTAGTAGTAGTAGTAGTAGTACATATGAAGGCTTCATGAATCTCTTTATGCCCAGAGCGATAACGAAAAGACTTACCGATGAATACCCATCTATAAAAACAAAAATCACAATGGTTCCAGTGATCGTCAGTAGCAATGTTATAATCATCAGTGTTCGATGAACCTGTCGAATAAAACGAACCAAACAAATACAGTTGCTGCATATCATTATTATGCGGGAAATAAGACCAAATTAAAGCCCCATCCATATGTGCAATTGAAAACCAGCAATACAATTTATTTCTTTTCTATAGCGAGAGGCTATTAGGGCCTCTTCACATGGAGGTGGGGGACCCCAGGTAGGTTCCCCACCTAAGTAGGTTACCTCACCTACCTGGGGTCCCCCACCTCCGTGTAAACAGGCCCTTTTTTGCTTAACTGTATCTCAACAGCCTTAGTTATTCTGGCTACTTTTTTTCCACATTTTTCAATCAACACGTTTTAAAAAAAGAATCGAAATAGTTTTTTTGGGCATTCCTGTGGAATACTGTGGGGACGTTTATAAAGCTGCCGAAAACACTCACATTCGACGTGCTAAAGTTTTACCAGTAAAACATAAACACTGTTGTTTGTGTCGTGTGTTTAAACGTAGTGTAAAACGTTCGACTGAACAGAATAAAAACAAGAAGAAGAATAAAAATATAATTAATTTGTTAACTTCTAACTTTTAATTTCTCAGGCGTTTCTACTGTGCCAGTCTAGATCAGATATTAAAGTCAGACTCTGAGTGTTATTATCTTTTCCATTATTACTAACCGTAAACCAAGCTTTTTCTCCTAGCAGTTTTGTTGGTTCCCAAACTTGACGCATGTATCTTGCCGTAAATAAACCAACAAAAGCAAAGAGAAGCCAAGCAAGGGTCATCAAAATACCTAATTGCGTTGTGTAAACACAAGTAAAAAAATATGAAGAAAATTTTAGCAATGCTTTGAAATCTGGCTGAACTCTATTGGTCAATTTATAAGTCATGCTATTTTGGTTCTCTTAAGTCGTTATTTTAATGCGCGGACTGCGAATCTCCGTTTCTGATGGATCTTAATTACCTGGCAAATTCTTCATAACCAGCCTGCGTCAATGAAATTTAGGAAACAGTAAACAACCGCATATAAGAACACACCATTTCGGAGGTCAGGCTGATTAAGTTCTTATTTATCGGGTGCTTAATGACAAATCAGCCTCAAAATGTTCTTAAAATGTTCTTGATTTTTTATTTAGTGATACTATCCAAAAACTTGTTGCTAGAGGTATACAGGGTGTCCCAAAAGTTCGTTCCTCTAATTTCATGCACTGTAACTTTTGATCAAAACTTTATTTTTACATGAAATTTCTTGGAGATGTTTATTTCTCTATCAAGTACATGTATTCAGAATTTCGGTAACTGGCATGCCCTTTTTGTTTTTTTATCACATTCTGTAGCCGTTGCGGCATGAAGTTGGATACAGCGTGTTGACCCACAAATGATCCATTTCGATTATCACCTAGTGCGCAGGATCCAGTTCAACCCCCAAACAAAATTTGTTTAGGTTAGGCAGCTGAAAAAAATATATTTTGGGCATTCATCCAAAAAAGATAATCATCCCGGCCTCCTTCCACAGCAAGGCTTTTGTACTTCTTTACAAATTTGAAACGAGCTGGGCGTTAATTGGCAGACTAAGCAGAGGTTTTTTTGCCATCTCAGGAGCCTCTAATTTTAAACATTTTAAACAGCTTTTCATGACCCTTTTATTTGGCTTGCTAACTATGTGAGACTGAGCTTCCTTGTCGAGTCTCCTATTTTGTATCTAGTCTTCTTTAAAACTATTTTAGCTGCCTTATTAAGGGCTTTTGGTCTTCCCCTTACTTCCTTGCCTTCATAACCTTCATTTCTCCATGATAATTCTACCACCCAACATTCGGATTTTTCCGGTTTTTTATCAATTTCTACAACAGATAAGCCAGTAAATCGAAGTATACAGGCTTATGGTCTCAAGCAGCTGAACGTTTTTGTGTTAAGAGGGTTTATCTTTCGTGATATTCACAAGAAACAAGGAAGGAGTTCGAGTAGTTCGGGCTATGAAATACAAAAAAATATGTGGCTGGAAAATATACTCGCGCACGCGCACCTATTGCGCGGAAGTACACAAATCGAATATTCGAGTCAAAAGATGGCACAAGAAGTATGAAAATAGTGAATTATATTGAAAGGCACACATTCTGTTGAAATGATTTGCTTACCAAGTCCAATCGTACTGGAATACAGACTTATAAAGTAGAGGAACGAACTTTTGGGAGACCCTGTATTTAGCATATTTTAGGAAAACAAAATAAACAATTATTCTGTAACTTGATTATATCAACAAATAAAGTTATCTGACAGCAAACATAAACTTACATGTTTTGTAATTATGACACTTTTTCCATTTTATAAGAACATGTTACAATTTTCAGGCTGATCATGGGGCTTTATTGGCCAAACTTCAGCCTGGTGTTCTTAATCCATTTGTTCTTATATGCGGGTGTTTACTGTACCTTTACTATCTTTCCACTAATGACGTCAGATGCTGACGACCAAATAACCAAAATAATAATATAACACCAGATAACCGCATTGCTAACACCACTTAATGCCTCGGTGTCTCGGAGGCCGTTATCCACCACGTCCTCCATGAAGGATTACACCCGGGACTACAACGACGTTATTTTGAAAGGGTGGCAGATCGGCCCCTACAAACCTAGCCAATATATTTAAAGAAAAGATAAGATTGTTTTAAAGATTTCTTTAAATAGTGATAAATGTTTGATCCTTTCTCTTTCAACTCAGTAGTTAGTAAATGATGCCATCCCACTCACTCACTTTTATTTCTAACTCATCTCGCAAAATCGCTCGCTTGTTCACTCATTTCACATAACTCATTCGTCAAACTCACTTCATTCACTTCATTCAATTCGTTCAATTCGTTCAATTCGTTCGATTCGTTCAATTCGTTCGATTCGTTCAATTCGTTCGATTCGTTCAATTCGTTCGCTTTCGCTCACTCATTTCACTCATCTCACTCATTTCACTCATCTCACTCATTTCACTCATCTCACTCATTTCACTCATTTCACTCATTTCATTCAGTTCATTCAGTTCGTTCAACTCATTCGTTCTGTTCCATTCGTTCTCAAGTGTCGCTCTTATTGCTCGAAGAGTTAGAAATAAAAGTGAGTGAGTGGGTTGTCATCATTTACTAACTACTGTATAATAAAGTAGTGAAAGTTAAAGTGAATCAGAAAAAATAAATTTGATTTAAGAAATAAAATATAAAAAAATATAAATGGGTTTTAAATCAACAAACAAACAAACAAGTCAATCAAATAATTGTAATACTTTCAAAGTTGGAGGATTATTATTTGATAGTAAAGAAGATTATTTGTTGTTTAAAAATATTGATAAAAATATCAACGACACAGTTAAATCAGTGAAAGATGGTAGCATTGATTTAAATAAAGTTTTTAATAATGTTAAACCAATAAGTGTAAAAGAATGTTATTATGAAGCAAGGGAAGAATTGGATGGATTGTTTGAAAATGCAACAGGTTTATTATGTTATGAAGGTACAACATTAGTTACTGAGTATAAAGTTGGTTGTGGTTTTTTTGATAAGATTAATGTAATAGAATACTTTGATTATAGTGATAGTGATGATTTTTAAACTTTTAACATTTTATGTTACAAGTTTTTATACTTAAATATAGCTATAGTGATGATTTCTAAACTTATAACATTTTTTTAACGTTTAAAGTTATGTTACTTAATAATAAGAAAATGACAAATATAGAAAAAATAAAAAGAATATTTGGCAATTTTCTAGAAACTCGTGTTTACAACTATCACAAAGCAAAAAAGAAAAGTAAAGCTATTGCTTCTGATTCAAGAAAATATAATTATTACTGTTATAGATTAGATGAGATTAATTGTTTAAAAAAACTTTTAAATATAAAAATATTAATTAAAAATGAAATAAAAAAAAGTTTTATTGATTTACATTTTTTGAAAATGTTAGAATACTTCATATATCTTAGATTTTATCATGAAAATATTAAAAAGTTATCGTATAATGAGAAACTATTACGTTATTTTGAAAAGGTTATTAGCACTAAAGGTTTTGATCCAACAGAATGGGACTCAGAATATAATTTATTAAAAAAAGATCATATTTTTTATTTATGATAGTGATGATTTCTAAACTTATAACATTTCATGTTACAAGTTTTTTATTTTATATAATCATTATTAATAAAAAAATGTATTGTCGTTTAAATAACGAGTTTGATTGGTTGATGAAAATGTTAAAAAAAGGTGATTGTTTTTCAGATTGGGAAGATGTTTCTAATTTTATAGATGATTCTTTACTACATTTACGTTATATGAAAAAACGATTTGGTTATTTATTTTATGATGAGTATAAATATATTAAAAAAGTTAATGGTCGTAATGCTATTTTTGTTAATAAAGAGTATCAATATGTTTGTAGAAAGCCTGAAGAACCAACATATCATGGAATTGATGAAAATGGAAAAACTATTAATATTACCATTCCTATGGAAGACAAAGATCGTTATGAGATTAAGTTTTTAGACGACATAGATAGAGGAGATCCTTTTATTACAAACGATGAAAAATACCAAAATGAAAAAGTAAAACAAACTAAAAATATTCTTAAAAAGATTAAACTAGTACAACCTGAAATATTTAACAGTAAAGAATTTTATGAAGTGTTATATTCAGAAGAGTATGATAAAATCGAACTTGAAAAAGACCGAAAAAAGTTTTATGAACAAGTAAAGAAATTTGTATTAGAGAATTTTTCCTACAAGAATTAATATAACCAACTAATAAAAATGGAATCAAGTTCTAGAGAAACTACTCCTACAAAAGAGGATTTGGATTTTATAGTTGATGATAAGGATCCAGATTACATTCTTACAGGACAAGATTTTAAAATATTAACCAAAAATGCTAAAAAACTCGGTGCTGAATCACTTGATTATTCAACTCGTAAAAATAACAAATACATGGCTACACTTCCAGGTGGAAAGAAAGTTCACTTTGGGTCTCCTAAATATCCAGACTTTACTATTCACAAGGATAAAGAGAGAAGAGATAAATATCTGTCTCGTGCTATGAAGATTAAAAATAAAAAGGGAGAATTAACCTATACTAATCCAGAATCGAGTAACTTCTGGTCAATAAATTTACTTTGGCATAGAAAATAAAATTAAATATTATAAGATTAAAGAAATAAAATTTAATATAAAATGGTTATCATATTAGAAAATAATAAAAAGTTTTATACTCATCCTATTTATGAAAAATATGCAGCAAATAAATATGGTGAAATTATGAATGTTAGAATAAGAAATCCTATGTTAGGAAAAATTAATAGTAATGGTTATTTAATTTTTGGAATATATATATCAAAAAATAAACAGAAAACTTATATTTCACATCGATTTATTTATGAGTGTTTTTATGGGATGATAGAAAAAATAAATCTATTAATCATATCAATTTTATTAGAACAGATAATAGGTTGAAAAATTTGGAAGTAGTAACAACAAGTGAAAATAATAAAAAATCAGCAATTAATAGAGATTATAGTTTTGTAAAGGATAATCATAAAAATAGAAAAAAAGTTAAGGGAATTAATTTGTTAACAAATGAAGAAGTTATTTACAATAGTTTATACTCAGTTAACAAATTATTAGGTATTAATGCAGGTCAAGTTAAAATGATTTGTGAAGGATTGAACTATTGTAAATCAGCCACTTCAAAAAAAGACGGCCAAAAATACAGATTTGAATATTTAAAAGTGGTTTAAGGATTATCTAATTATTAATAA